GTAACTTTGAGAAATTCTATATTATTCAAATGTATAATTCTTATACACGAGGTTTATTTAAAAAAAAAAAATTTTTGTTTAATTATTACATCATTTAGAACAATATTAACTATTTCTTATTCAATTCAAATTATAAATAATCTATTAAATAACAGATTAATATTAAATTTAATTTATTTTTATGAAGATAAATTAATAAATTTTTGTGTAATAATTTATAATAATAATAACAATATTATTATTAAGAAAAATTATCTTTAATTTTAAATTTATTAAAAATTTATAAATATCTTGTTATAAAAATATTTATTTCAGGTTTTATTTTTAATTTAATATTGATTATTAAATATTGATTTAAAAATAATTTGTTTCTTTAAATTTTATTTTTATAATTAATATATATAAAATTATTTTTTATTTTAAAAAATTTTTAAATAAATATGATATATTATTTTTAAATATAATTAATTAAAATTTTTTTATATTGGAAATATAATGTTCTAAATAAACTATATATTTAGAAATAAATAAAATAATTACCACGAGAAACTTTTCTGAATATACATATTACGTGTGTATGTACGAAACTTTCTAAAATTTTACCAGCCGTGTAATAAGACACATATTGAAAAAACACGAAACCAGTTTGAAAGACACAAATCATAAGTTATTTGCTGCAAATGTACACGTAGTAAAAAATTACTGATAAAGCTGTGAACTCACTAAATATTGTAGTTCGTTAACGTAATGCTTGCGTTAAATATTTTATAACTTTCACACACGTTCTCAACCTTGATTTAAAATCGATATATGTATATATTGTGATTTGAGATAAAACTAATGTGTATATATCGTATGTAGAATTCTAAATATTTTTTTATAAAGTATCTGTTTCAACTGAAGTTATTATAGAATAAATTTTTCTACCGATTTTAATAATAATGAATTATGATACTACTTGAAGTTTAAACAATTCTTCGAAAATAATGAATTGTGTGTTTTAAAAATTTGTATCGAATTTCTACAAGAAAATCCAGTTTGTTCAATTTTGTCGCTCGTGAAATGTAGACTATCGCTTCTTTATTACTTGAGAAAACGTAACGTATCAAAAATATCCGAAATTATATATTTTGTAATTAAAAAAAAGAATATTTTACATGACAAGATAAGTTAAAAACGTAGAATAAAATTACGAATCTTTATTTAAGAATTGCCGAATTTTTATTAATCTAATTTTGTTCAATCTTAGGAATCATGATACAAAATTAATTGTGTACTGGAAAAATTACAAATATCAAATAATATTAAAAGAAAAAAACCATTTTACAAATATTATATTTCAACATTTGATTAATCACCGGAACAAATTAGAAAATACTCATGGGAATATAAAGAACAAAATTGTATATGATATTCAATATGATAGAAAATGACTTATGCCACTTTCAAAATAAATGGCTCATAAAATTAATTGATTTGTCCAAAATGAACATGTTTCACCCAATGTACTTTGTATTGAAATATTTGCTCTCTCACGGAAATTTGACTTGCCTTCACGAAATAATTAATTCTTATGAAGTTAAAACTTTGACAAATGAGACACCCCGTATCAGATAAAAGTTTTCGGTGACGAAAATCTTTCTGCTCCTTTGTACAGGGTGTCCCGTAACTGATGGTATCACCAGCTATGGGGTATCACCAGCTATGGGACATCCTGTATCAGACAGCATCAGTATATAAGTATGTACATACCCCTTGCTCCAACATGTATTCTCAAAAGGGCCATAAGTCACGAGTTACGGAGCTGAATGCCACTACCACTTTGAATTACGTTGGCAAGCGTGCAGTGGACGCACGGAATCGAGTGTCGCGTACGCTTCAAAACAAAAACAATGCCCGCGCCTAACTCTCGAGAAATGCCATTGTACCGGCGAGTAACAAGTGCAATCCTGCCACAGTCAACTCGATCAAGGATCTTTTTCCTCTCGCCATCCGACAGTTTCGAATATAGTAACGGAAACAATACTAGTTTGCGCGATAATCGGGAGGCTCTGACAATTCGCGACGCCATTTGTTTCCTACTACCTTGTCGATAGTTCGATATTTCGATTCTTGATCGATAGAAGTTACACCGATTGCTCCCGCACACTTGCGAGATTGAGTACGAGTTTACAATTCAAACTGATCAACTTCACGCTCAACTTTTCAGAAACGATCTTAACATTAGAATTATCGAGGTGGTCAAAATGATTAATTCATAATTTTAGACATAATAGATAGTATTTTTAAAGATTTAAATGATTTTTCGGAAAATACATAATACATATAAAAGCTTGTGTATTTTTATTTTATTTCTCTCTTTAATGTCTCTGATGAAAATTCTATGCTTCAGTCCTTGGTAGTTCAAGTGTTAACCTAGACCTGATCCATTTGGTTTTTGTATGACTCGAATATCGTAATCGATATTTCTATCGTAATCGATCGTTTCTACGTATATTATTGAACCATGACTCATAGATATCGAGTGGAAAATTCGAATGACATAACGATCGTTGAGCTAAAAATACATCAGATAAATGAAAAATACTCTTTTTAACCGATCGAACAATATTAAATTTTTTTTTACATCCTGAAGTACCTCCATTCACGATTAGTAAGTAAAACAGAAACAGGAATGAGAACTGAAGATAATTACGTGAGCAACGATAAATATGCGTCGTTGTATTTGAATTTTTTTCAAGCTACAGTATTGTAGCCAAATATCGTTCGGGATCAATATTCTAGTTTAGATGTTAATAATTGTAATATAGATCATTGTACGAATCATGTAAATAGAGATCATGTAAGAGTCGCGTACCTTTACGACCTAGCGCTTATTGATGTTATTTTTACGCGACAGCATTTACAGGTTAGAAAGCACAGTCCCGTTAACATTAGAGCAACCGGCTTTTCAAAGTATATTGTACAAAGTTAATTAGAACTTTCATGGATGAAAATAACAAAAATTAACAGATATACGCAACCGTGTTTTCGTTTCGACACTTGAACATCAACACTTGCATGTTTATAGTAAATGCACGAATTTTGACCTGCGAGTTGTATTTTGACAAGGTTCAATGATTCTAGGTTAAAACATTCCTCTAGCGACGAATTCGTACAATACAAACAATTCATCAATTCAATTGACGAAAGGTCAAACACGCTGCTATTGAAATCACTCACCTTTTCTACGATATTCTGCACGCTGGAAGTTCCCCGTCACATTCCAAGAAGCTTCGTCGCACAACGTAATATACCGGCGACGAATCCGCAAGTTCGTTCCCTCGGCCGGCCGATACGCGTCCCGTGTGTGTCATCCACCCTCTCTCTGTCCACTGCACGTTTTCTTCCGCACCACTTCGTTCCTTCACGCAAGCAAAACAACAAGCTCCCGTGCGTATTTACGATTTTCTTTTGCGAGAGGAAAAAGACGTGATTACGCGTCTGTGGACAATAGTGGACAATAATATTCAGTACTCTGAAATCTGTGGGGCAAACGTAGAAACAAGCCACTCTGCTAAAAAATAGTTTCCTCTTGTCGAACGTAAACAGTATATTTCTTCGTCGATAGTTTCAATACAGAATCACAACAGCCGGCTATTTATTTTGACCGACGCGATAAGAAAAAAACACACGATCAGCGCGGCACGTATTCGGTTCTGATAGTTCGACGAGAATATGTCGACTGGACGACAATGAAATCTCATGCCCAGCAGACACCACTGCCGTCACAAGCAGAGATTTCCTCGCCGGGAAAAACACGCACACACAGTCAGCCGCGTTCGTTCACGAACAACAGAGAGAGAAAGAGAGAGACTCGCGAACCTACCGGTGAACGCTGCCTCATACGCCGAAAAATCCACTATGCGATAATAATACGTTCGATCGCAATCGTTGATAGTGAAATCCTCCCGCACCAGGATCTCGTCTCAAGATTCCGAACATCTCCCGTATACACGCTCCCCGTCGGATTCTTTCCCTCCTCGGGTTCCTCCCTGTCGCCTTTCCGTCTCTATCTTCTCTGTTTCCGCGGCAAGAAATCCTTCCTGTGTTTTCTTCCTTTCCTTTCCTTTCTTTTCTTTCCGTTTTTGAGGCTTCGCCTTCGTTCGCCGCAAACCGAGTTGAAATTAATTCACGCGAGTAACACCGATCAACTCAATGGCTCTTCGGAGACGTCCTAGCATCCTGGTACGGGCGTCGTTTCTTCCCGTGGAGCCAAACGGATGATTTCTCTGGTCCAAGTTGTTTGCTCGCGTCTTGAACGTCCGTGAGGCCGTGATAGAGACGCAGGGTACGTGGCCTCTCAAAGAGACGAAAGAATATATACGGAGCACTGGCTACACTTTTTTTTCTTGACCTGTAATTGTTAGAACCGTTTGCAATGTAATTTCGACCGATGTGGCCGCGCAATGTGATTTCGTCGAGACTCGCTCGTCCGCGAAACACGATTTCAAACGTGCACGTGCGGCAGAGTACGCAGAAACCGCAAGTTTTTTACGGACACATCCCCGACTTGTCTCCTCCTCGCCAACGCCTACACGATACACATTGCACGCAGCAACGACGCCCCTACACGCCGATGACAGTGGCTCTCAAACCGTCGCGTCGTCGTTGCTTGCCGATAGATCGCGCGACGTTGCGTTTGTTCGATTTTGGAAACAGGTTCTTCCCTAGATTCACGGTCCTTGTCATCGGTGCATTTCAAATTTTGCTTTACAACCCTAATAACGATTACCGATACTTTTCATATGTATTTATAGGATAAGAAATTCGCATTATTCTTGTAATGTTTTCGTTTTGATGTCTAGTATGAAAGCAGGAAATTTTTTTGACACAAAGTACAAGAGTACAAAATTAGTACTAGGGAAATTGAGCACGAGTAGGAAATACGACGTTATTAATGTTGTTTCACTTTACGATAACTTCAGTTTGTTCTTCAAACGTAAACTGAAACGAAAATCGTAGAAAAGGTAATAAATATTTATTAACATAGATATTTGAAACGATAATTCATAAGCTTATACTAATTCATAAGCTTTTATAATACCGCAACAAAGATTTATTAGTTGTATGTATTCACTTCCGCCATCTAGCAGCCTATAATTACACTCCTGAAAATAAGCAAAATTAAGTATCGTGTATTGTTTTTAATTAAATCATTTTATACTCTTACCCCAAGTCTGTCTGCGATGAGAGCTTTCTGTTGATCTGTTAATTCGTTAGAATATATAATTTTTTCACTGAGTTGCTCAATAACCTGTAGGAATGTGAAATTTTAATAAATAATCTGTACAAATAATAATAAATAACAAAACAAGAAAGATCACCTGAGACGTAGCATATGCTTCCAACATAAACTGATCGACAAATTCTTCTGCCTTACTATAATCTTTTGTTTTGCATACATTCATTAAATCATCCAACCATTTGTCAGGAACAATCTATAATTATATTATGTAAAATCAATAGTTATGTAATAAAGTAATATTTGTTACTTAAAAATAAAACTGTATATTACCCCAATAATTTCAACGATGTCATCAACAGTAATGTCGATGCCTTTGCCTTTCAATCTTGTAATGGACTGTAAACATGTTATAGCGCGTCGTAAATCTCCACCTGAAGCTTCAACAATTTTTAATAACACAACCTTTTCTGCTTTCAAGTCTTCCTCTTTACATATGTATTCTAATCTCTCAACGATTTTATCCTCTCCCAACGGCTTAAATCTAAATTTCGTACAACGAGAAGTCAAAGGTTCTATGATTCTTGATACGTAATTACAAATTAAACAAAATCTGGTGCTATGTGATTCTTTTTCCATAGTACGACGGAGTGCAGCTTGCGCGGCATTAGTCATACTATCTGCCTCATCTAAGATGATAATTTTGAAAGGCGGACAACTTTTCCCACTGAAAAAGAAACATTGCTGTTACAGCAAATTCTTAACTGATTAACTTATAATTTTTTACATATAACAAGTCTCAGATCTGTGCCTTTATCATTGAAATTACAAGAACGACATACAAGACCATTGTAAGTAAATAATTGTCTGCTTTTGGTTGTCTGCTACTCAAAAGTTTAAAACTACATTACTTTTGATAACACACAAAGCACGTTGTTTTTCAGTTGGTAATAAGACTTGCAAAAACTTAATTGCAATTCCTGATTACAACTAAGTGGTCCATATATGTAGCTCTATTGTAATTCTCAAACCTTTTACTTAAACATCATTGGCTTAAAACAATATTATACGAGGAAAAAAAAATAATGCTAAACATACTCATCTCTCACACCACCTGCCGTAAGCTGTGCAAAAGACTTGATTTTGTCTCTCACAACTTGGATACCTCTTTCATCAGAAGCATTTAATTCCAATATTCTTTCCTTGTAGAGGCTACCGAATAATTGCCTAGCCGCAGCTAATATAGTACTTGTTTTGCCAGTTCCAGGTGGGCCATAAAATAACAGATTTGGAAAATCTCCACCCTTCAAACATTGTCGCAATACTTCTACTACCTCTGCTTGTTCCACAACGTCTTCTACAGTTCTTGGTCGACTGTGAAAGTAATAAAATCTTACAATTTAGAGAATCTGTGCAATTTAGGTTATACTAGCACGTTGTTACTATTTTTCAACCCATGGCGCTGCAGGACTGCTACGTTCCTCTTTCGAACGTGAAGTCGAAGCCTTCTTAGAATCACCAGGCCCTAATTTCCCAGTTTTTAGAAAAGCCTGCATAATTCCTTTATATCCTGAACTTTTTGCAACAAATGAATTTTAACCGGTATAACGGTATTTCTTCCCGCGCAATTTTCTTTCAACTATACTATACCAACATTAGGACCGAAATTTTCTAAAACAAATTGCCCTTATTCCAACTACGTATATTACAGATTTGCGATTGTTTTCAATCAATTATTGTCGACTTCATTAACTCCTTTGCGAATATTTACAATATGTAAATATTTAATGTACCATACGAATCGTTGAAAATAAAAATACACATTTAAGAAAGTTAAACGATCGTTCGATTATCGAATACAAACGCTATCCTAGTTCCAAATTTCTGTTAGATTAGCAACTACTTACATTCGTTACAAAACGAGCAAATTTACCATTTGTCCGTCGTATCAATGTTGTAAATAAAGGGGAGAATTGGCTGTATTAATTAATTGCTCACATGATAGACAAAAACAAGACTCTCCTCAGGACAGTTCGATTGTAGTTGCCATGCGAATTATGTGCTCGATACTATAACTCGGTTCATTGACTTTATTTTTGTTAAATTATCGTACGGCCTCCCGTCGAAAACAGTTTAAAAAATTAGAATCAATAATTGTAACATTCACCCCGCGATCGTCGGATACGTTGACAAAACGCGTGGAAGTTCAACTAGCGCGTAGAATGGAGTATCAGAATCGATTGTGCATGAAAAAATACTTAATTTATACTACGGATTTGATGCGGTTTAGTATAAATTAAATGAACGCCGGTCAATAGTGTATCTTTTATGTAGATGAATTTTTTTTATTTAAACATGTGATATATTTTTTCTTGGCGTTCTTTCAAGTTGTATGTATAAATAATGATGTTCTGGATTGTTTCCCTGGTAGCAATCATTTTGCACTTTAGTTCTGCACAAACCAGTATGTATCTTATTCTGAACTTGCAATTTTAGGAGAAGTATCACTGACTCTCTTGTTTTCACAGAACCTGAGTCACAAGGTTTTTGTGCGCCATACAGTGGAAATGTTTGTAAGAAATATCTAACTGGAATTGGGAAAGTGTGGTTCAATGATTCCAACGATAATCCCGGAGGATGGTTGAATGAACGTATCACAACTAATTTATGGGAGGAATTGATACAACGACTTGTTGAACCATGTCGTTCTGCTGCAGAGGTAATTGATATCTCGAATCGATAAAAATATAAAAAGGTACAAAAAAAAAATATTATTTCAGAAAATGCTATGTATGTATGCCTTTCCGCGGTGCCATAACTCGGTTGGTCTACCATTATGTTATGAAGACTGTATGGCAGTACGTCATCAATTCTGTTTCAATGACTGGGCAATGATAGAGGATAACAAACAGAGAGACATCTTTATCAGATCAAGAGGACATTTCACATTACCAGATTGTGAATCACTGCCAAAAATAGTTAAAGGAAAAATGACCTGTTCTCACATTCATTTGACTGATATGAATGAAGAACTTGTCACATGTAAAACAAACTTAAAGTGCTTCGAGTGATTGTCAAGCATTTGCATCTTTCACTTTTTAATCTTTGTATTATTTCAGACGACTGTGTCAAAGGCAATGGTAGATTTTACATGGGAAAAGTAAATAAAACAAAACTAGGTTTGGATTGTCAGTCATGGAATGCACAAATACCACATAGTCATGATAGACCACCAGATGTCTTCCCTCAAATTCGTTTTGGAGAAAATTATTGTAGAAATGCAGGTGGAGATGAACCAATGCCATGGTGTTTCACCATGGATCCTAATATTAGATGGCAACATTGTGATATTCCTATATGCGGTATGGATTTAATGTTTTGTGCAATGTAATAAATAATTATGTACATCTTTCTCAATTTATCTTGATATAAATTTAATTTAATTTTCTTCATAAAAATATCAGAAAATGTAGATTCCTACTATTAATAATTATTAAAATTTTTACTAATAATAATTAATAAGAAAAAAAACTTCTACAGCCCAAAAAACATCTGGTCCTGAAAGGGTCAATGCAGATAATGTAACAAGCAAAGTTTTAGAGATTGATCCTAAAGATTTAATAATGGATACATTATTTACTCCAATGTTTATATTGATATTGACTTCATTGGGATTTGTAATTATAGCAGGAACTTTATTATCCATTATTTTAAGTCACAAATTACATAAACGACATCAAGGATATAACCCCACAGATAATCAGGTATGTTAAAAAATTATTAATTTCTATTAAATGCATTACGAAATTACGTGATTTAAAAATATAATGCCCAGAAAAAATTACTGAGTCTGGTGTTCAAAATCAATCTTCATATTAATAGTAGATAATGTATGTTGCCATATTTATATATATAATATGTATATTGTACACATATATGTATTGACATACACATTTATATTAATTTCCAGTATGTCAATATTGATTTGGACAAGTTACCGAGCAATGATGCATACCATAAAACGAGCGCACAACTTAATCCGAAATTAGAAAAATTGGAGTTTCCAAGGAATAATATCATTTACGTTCGAGATTTGGGACAGGGCGCTTTTGGCAGAGTATTCCAAGCAAAAGCGCCAGGTCTCGTTCCAGGTGAAGAATTCACCAATGTTGCTGTAAAGATGTTAAAAGAAGAAGCGTCAGACGATCTTCTAAAAGATTTTGAACGAGAAGCATGCCTTCTCGCCGAATTTGATCACCCAAATATCGTAAAATTATTAGGTGTATGCGCCTTAGGCCGACCAATGTGTCTCCTTTTCGAGTACATGGGTCGCGGTGATTTGAATGAATTTTTACGATCTTGTTCACCAGGCAATTATATTATTCGAAACTTGGAAAAGGACGAACATTTCACAGATTCTCGTTTATCACATATGGATTTAATTAATATTGCGCTTCAAGTAGCATCAGGAATGGTGTATTTGTCGGATCGAAAATTCGTTCATCGGGATCTTGCAACGAGAAATTGTTTGATCAATGACCAAATGATCGTAAAGATAGCAGATTTTGGCTTGTCACAAAAAATCTATTTACAAGATTACTACAAAGGTGATGAACAAGATGCTATTCCAGTTAGATGGATGCCTTTAGAAAGTATATTGTACAATAAGTATACCGTCGAATCTGATGTATGGGCATTCGCGGTGTGCTTATGGGAAATATTTAGTTTTGCGCTTCAACCTTATTACGGAATGACGCATGAAGAAGTTGTAAAATATATTAAAGAAGGCAATGTGCTCCAGTGCCCTGAAAATACTCCGCCGGCGGTATATGATCTGATGAAGCTCTGTTGGAACAGAAGACCGTCAGATAGGCCTACTTTCAGAACAATTTATAACACCCTCGATACTATAAAATACAATCTGGAAGCAGAAAATAAGTCGGATAGCGTACCATTGCGTATTCATGTTTGAGCCTGATAATAATTTGTCTCTGAAGAAAATTCAATTATATATTCATATAATTATGAAATAAGTGATATTTATGGAAAAGTAAAGGTAAGTAAGTGGTAAATTATACTACATGTTATACACAACTGCCTTTGTTACGTTTGTTATGTAGCCTTATTAAATGAATTAATCGAAATATTTATGAAAAATGTGTTAATAGTAACACATATTGGCTACTATTATGTTTGACATAAGAATGATTACATGAATGCATCAAGTCATATTGGAATCAGTTTTGATTTATATCTAATTCTTGTAAATATACGTATACATTACTAAATCAATCTTTTTTTACAAAATGAAATATTTTAAATTGTTTCTTAATCGTATTTGCAGTTAATAGTAACACATATTGCCTATTATTATATTTACAAGAATGATTGCATGAATGCATCAAGTCATATTGATAATCGGAGTTAGTCTATTTTATTTATACTCAATTCTTGTAAATATACATATATATTACTAAATTAATCTTTTTCTTTACAAAATGAAATATTTTAAATTTTTTCTTAATCGTGTTTGCATATTTGAATACTATTTAAAATAATTGTCATAATACTTCTTTAGATTATGCTAAAAGTTTATTTATTAATAATTTATTTAAATCTATATCAAGATTAAAGAACTGAAGACTGGTATGATGTAGAATACATACATGTAATTAAAATACTGTATGAGTTTCAAAGTAATTTTCTGTACATACAAATTTCGATCTTACATTTGCATTCTGCCTATTGTAATTTTATGCATTCCGTCAACGAATTTTGCAATAATACATCCTGTTACTAACTGCCATTAAAAGACATCTTCATAATAGTCCAATATAATATTAAGAATAAAACATAACAATACAAAGATTTCAGTGGTACTACTATAATTATAGAATGTTTATTATATAAGTAATCAGAATCTAAAATTAAATGTGTTTTTTCAAAGCAAATGATAGATTAATTTGTGTGTTGCTATTAATATCAACTTGTTTATATTTACAAAAATTAGAAGTATGCTTATAAAAAGATACAGTATTGCTGTTGCTCTACTTAAAGAATTTCATGAAATTTTCTTATACCATACACTAATGTTTGAAATATTTGTTTAACGTCCTATCAAAACAAAAAATTTAGTTTGAAAAGATTCAATAATTACATAATAAGGATCCTGGATCTTTGATATCATTTTCCATTTTAATATATTTATGAATGCATTTACACAAATTTTTAATGGTTGTTATTTCTATAATTATAAATGTAAAGACTGATAATGTATTTTTTAATTTTTATATTATCTGTATTTACAAATAATATAAAATACACTTTTTATCCTTTATTTTTTTTTTTTTTTATACTTTTCTATACGAAAATGAACAAGAATATTTAGTTGTGCTAGTTGATCAGATGACTATAAAAATACATGTTATATGTGTAATTATATGTATTAGCAAATATGTTTGCAATATTCTTTTTATTTCTTCAGAGCATAAATACCTTAAAAGTATACATTATGTTACACAAAACAGACGAACTTTCCTATATATAAATATATATAAAGCAAATAGAAAAATAACAATGTTTTGCTAAAGCCTAAGACAGACACTGAATTTATATAACTATGTGAACAATTTGGCTATAAAAAAATGGGTTTATATTTAGCAACGTTATATGTAAACTGTCCTTAATTGTTAGATGTTAGATCGTTGCTGTACCAAAAAACATAGCCTGTTTAATGTACGAAAAATAATATTAAAAGCTATTATGACAAATGTTATAGTAAAAAGATAAAAAACATTAAGTGAGTGTATACTGTGCAACTGTTACACATAAGGTATGAAAGTAATTCATTATTGTGCTGTATTTAAATGAATGTTTTACTTGTAACATAGAATTAGTTTAAAATATTATTTGTTCTATACATATACAATATTATTAAATGAAAAATGTTATTGTAAATGGAGCAGAATTTAGTTCGAAATTCTTTAATTACACTTTATTTTTATTACAGTTTTTATAATATAATTTAATCTCTCTCATACTGGAATTGTTTAATACTATTGTTTATCACTACATTTGCATTCCAATAGATATATCACTCATCAGTATTTTCACAAGAATCCTATATGTTGCAAAGAGCATATTGATTTGTGAATGTACCATTCTGCTTAAGTACATAGATATGTATGTGTAACTAATGAATGTCATTGTCCAATTGATTTGTAAAGATAATTAATTGACTCATTTGGTTGAGCATTAACAAATACGATATATCATATGCAGAAAGTGTGAATGCAATGTTCAAATGCTCTTCCAGAAATCTTTTTATATAGGACTTTTATATTGTGAAGAAAAGATTAAAAAAAAAAAAAGAGGAAAACTTTTACCAAGTCTGTGCTCTTACATCTGTGTATTTGTATCCTGTATAAGTAGAGTTGTACGTGATATAATATTGCGATAATACGAACACGATACGTATTGTCTATGACCAAGAAACTTCTGGTATTATATACTTCGTTGAGTTCAGATGTGTTATTGACAATGATAAACTCTATTCTGAATTTTATGTACAACAAACTAATCTAATCTGTAAACACATCGAGATTCTTCGATATTCTATTTTAAACTTTTAATAAAATTCATACACATGGAAGAAATAATCAGAAGTTGCATCTTACTTTATTGTAAAAAAAAGTCATGTTTAACTATGGAGCTAGTAAAGATTGCGCATTTTATTACTACGAATATCGAGGAATTATCGATGAAATACTACGAACATGTTGAAAAAAAACTGCTATGAAACTTTTACTGATGTACAACTTTTACAAGGAATAAACAACCAATTTCATATATTCCATAGTTTCTTTTCTTTATTTTTAGAAGAATGAAACATCAGGATAATGAATTACAAAATCAAGTACATTGCTCCATAAATATATTTTCGCATATTTTTTTCAATAAACTAACGTCAAATCATCATTATGTATATAAAAAGCAGATATTTATATTGTATAATACAATTAACATTCTTAAAACTATCTTATATGTGAAATATCTCATGTAGGCGATACAATAGTCGTGTATATCTGCATATATGCATATCCTGTAAATTACTACTTGAGAACAATCCATATGTTCTAATAAGATACATATTTCAAAATTTATATGTTTGCCTTATGAAATAATATTCATAAAATTAGAAACAATAATTTGCTGCTATATAGAAAAACATGATATGACGCTTCTTTTTTCAACTAGTTATATTACAAGAAATACTTTTTTCTTTATAATTAACTAAACATTTACACTATACATAAAATTCAAATCAATTATAAAATTCTATAAAATGCAACAGAGATAAAGTATTGACAATATATTGCAACATCGAAGTACATCGTTATTAGATGTAGTTACCGCTTCACGGATATATCACTATAAAATTATGTATCTATTAACTGCAACGTGTAAAATGATACTAAAATTAAAATCAGAGAAATAACTTATTGCAATTATGGAGTGCTAAAAACAATTTTTGGTTTTGATAAATATTAATTCTTAATGTGAAGTAACATGATTTCTTTTATCCTTTGTGATAAAATTTACTATTAAGATCTTATGTTTAATCACAGTGAAAACCACGTTCTTCAATTTTATAAATTCGTTTTAAATTTACGAGATTATTTTTTTAATTTATGTAAACAAAAGTCTAGTATTTTAAATTTAATAATTTACCAAGAATGTGCAATGTCTAAAAATGCAGTTCAAAAGAACTAAATAATGTATAGATATATTTCAGTCCATATTATGTCAGGCAGAATTACTGCATTTATATCATAAGATCGTCATTGACATTTTTCCATGCATCATGCGATCACTTTTTCTTCCTTACGTGCATTAAAATATTTTATACTTTCAAAATAAACTAATTAAAAACCTAAATTTGAAAAATTTAAGTCTGAAATACTGATACTTTAAGTTATTACGTCTACATTATTGCACGATAAAACTTGTTTAATACTAAATTATTGTTTAAAAAATGACGAAGGGAATGTTTTTTGCAAGTTAATACTTGAAAATTATAAAAAAATAATATACTATTCTGACGTCAATGTAAAGTTAAAATACATCATTTGTTAATTATGTAATTGCAGTATTTGGTATTTTGTCTTTCGTTTGCTACAAGTTTCTGTATATCCTTGTACATATGATCATTGACATTCTTTGCAATCAAAATGCATCTTTTATATTCTGAAACTGTCGTACTGCCAAGTCAACTGGTAAATCAAATCTGTAGTTGGTAAGGCGGTCGAGAGTGTGGAATGCATCCTGGAAACCTGTTTGTAATAACAGCACGTAAATATTACAATTACAGATGGTTAATACGTTGTTAATATTTTATTTTAATACTTCAATTACCTGTTTTTACAACATAACTCCACGATGTATAATGATTTTCAAGAAGATATTGGCATTGCAAGATAAGTCTTAACCAAACAACAAGTTTATTAGCACTATAAAAAAAAAAGAAAACATTAATTTCAAATCTTCGTTTTCACAACAAAATCTGTAATAATGTTTACTCACTTGAGTGATGCGCATATAAATGCTTTAAAATGAGAATCATAACTCCTTTTGTATGGACTATGTGATGCAATGATATTTCCAATTGTGGTTAATAAACTCTGAAAATTGTTCAAAATCTTTAAAGAAACAAATTTAATTAGTAAAGGAAGTTACCAGCTGTGAATAGTTACCTGTTTAGAAGAAACAACTCTCCCACCTGCTAGATCAAGATTGAAACTTTGGGATAACTTTTGTGCAGGACTAGAATTGTAACGGTGGCCATTTTTAATTTCATAATACTTCAATATCAGTTCCCATGCATGCATTAAATTATAAGTAGAAGAATTTCTTTGGGGAAAACATCCCACGAATGGTACAACACTACTGGAACGCGCATCAGACATTAAACCGTGTTGTATTAAATCACGTATGGAAGTTGCTAGATGCTTCCTTACAGCAGTTGTTATTCTAGCATTGCAATGCGACATAGAATCTGAATCTGAGGCATAATCGTTTTCATTAGCAATATCATCATCTTCTGGGTGACGCTCAGTCTCAGCAATAGTTTCTATAACATGTTCGACAGCAATATCCAATCTTGTTCGTAAATCGCGCCAATTATGTACAGATTTTTTCTTAAAGTTTCTTCGAACTCGTTCACTACCACATCCTAACTGAGATACTAGGAACATATGCAATAGAGCTACGACTTTTTTTACAGTGTTCAAAGTTTTCGTTCTATTTTCCTCCTCTGTTTTTCTATTGAATGACTTTTTAGCATATGAAGTAGAACCAGCAGAACCACTGGTATGCACTGGACAAGCACAGGTGCAAGCTAAAGTTTCTGTACTGACTTCTCCTTGAAGATAATTTATAAAACGTTCTAAATCTGCGATTTGTGTTTTCAGTTGGGATACTAACTGTTCTTTCATTTTTAAAGGGCTAACAATCTGTAAATAATTTCGTTTATTTGATTTTCTTTTTAACACATTCACATTTATTTCCTTAGCAATTTATTTTATGCAAAACAATTTACCTGACTTATAGCATAATCTACTTGCCATCTTAAGTCATCAACTGGTAATTTACAAAGATCATCAACATTGAAATTCAACTTTTCTTTTATATGGTCTGAAAAAATAATGTAATCTTAAGTCTCAAATCGAATAGCTGTTTATTTTAAGGATTACAGTTGAAACTTACTGATTATAATATTCTGCCTTTCTAATATCATACTTTGTGGTAAATCGGCATTACCAGTTTCATAGGCATACTTTTCTAAGTCTTCTAACTGAGATTTCAGTTGACATATTAATTCTTTTTGTTTTGTTTTTTGTAATGCCACTTTAGATTCAACATCAACATCATTTATTACTCCAGATATCTGTTAAATGATATATACAAAGTACATAGTCTACTACTCTTCCTTAGTTATTATACTATTCATTTCATATACTCAGGAATTAAATAAGGAATAGAACACATGTGACACAAGATTAATAAACTTACTACTATTACAGATAACTTATATAACAATGTTTATTTTCTAGTACAAAATATAAAATAATATCCAAGATCAGTAAAGAAAACATATCACAGATTTATAAGCATATTTATACTTTACAAGCAAAGCGAAACAAGAATAAAATGCACAGAGAATAGAGAATAAAGAAAGAAATAAATAAAAAAAGGAAAAGTGAAAAAAAAGATAATATGAATCTAAGAAATAAATAAAACACAGGTACAATAGATTCTTGCGTAGCTTACGCTTTGCTTGCAGGACATTGGAGAAGTTGGTGTAATTGATCTACTATCGAACGATAAATTATTTGGAACATCTGGTATTCCCCTGAAGGCGAACTCTTCCAATTCTTTGAGCAACGTTTCCTTTTCGTTCGTTGGTGCATCCACAATTTGTCTCAAACGAAACTGAACCTATGACAGTAGAATTTCAAGTGTTAAAACGTTATTTGCACAGAAAAGTACATGAGGCTGAATTTTTAAATTTGCTCGGATACCTGGGCAAAGTGAGTGGTCAATGCAATGAGAGACGAGTTTAACATCTCCTGTTCTTCTTCAAGCATCTTCAGCCTCTCCATATCGTACGATAAACTAATGGATAACATAAAAATGTACTGTAGCATTTGCAGGTTGCTTACGAATGTAAACAGCAGTGTCTGTGAAGAATCAAACACTCACTTCTCCACCTCTATATACTTGTACTCGTCGGGAAAATCGTCGCCATCGTTTGCACCAACAGGCGCCCACCTCTCGCCCGACGGTCTGTCGCTTTCATCCGAATTTTCGATATCCTCATTCTCGCTGCTTTTGCAATCGCCAGAGCTCATTTTCTTCTTGTTTACGATCTCGATCGCCTTCTACTCTGCATTCGTGAATTTCCTTTGTTGCCGGCAGTCGAACGCGGAAACGAACGTTTTGATATATATCGTAACTTTATTTTTCTCTTTTACTTCTTTCTCTTCAACTCGTATATGTTAAAAATCTGGCCTCTCTCACGACACATCGGAACGTCTCGGTCTTCTACCTTCTCCACGTTTAATCCATTAATTAACTTCTGCGCACGTGTGCGAGTGGAAACGTCATTTGCCGTTGTCGATTTTGCGCCTGTTAAGGAGCATCCTCACGGCAAAATATCGCAGATTTAGGACTTGCTCGTTTTTTCACGACGAACATATCTCGCATCATGTTTGACTCGTGTCGCGAGACGAATAATACCTAATAACTAAGTAGCTGCATCCAGCACGCGTTTTCATCTCGCGTTTGCACCGATGCATCCTCACAAAATGTTTCTCGTTCCGCATTAATCGTGTAAAAGATCTGCCAATTAATGTTTCAGAGTGTAGATGGCTAAATGTTGGCACGTTATGAACGAACCATTAGTTTCGTCGAAGGTTTCTCAATAAATAGTCGTCTCGTATTCTTATTCGATCCTCACAGATGTGTCAAATTGTTATATCCTCGAGGGGACGTTTTTTCGTTAATTTATCGGATCGTGATTTGTTATTACTCCGTTGACTTTATAAAGGGATAGGACATGCAACGAGCAAATAACGAGATGTATTCATGGGAAAAGTTTTTAAAGAGAAATATCGAATAACCTACATCTCTTGACAGTTATCTGAGTGTTGGCCACCGTATCGTTACGTTTCGTGAATTATTCTCGTCTCGAAGGAAAGAGCTTACCGAGAATTGCATCGCATATCGTGGTATTCGCGATGATGCGGCAAGAAACAACTTTGACGAAGCCGGCACGTAAAAAACCGAACATTGATGCATCGATAGCCGAATGATTTTCGAGAATTCCGTAGAATAAGAATTACACAAAAGTTCTTATTTCATTCACGGATTTATCATTTGCCATCTATATATCGATGATCTTAAAAACTCGTTCTTGAAGTATTATAGGTAATAACAAGAAATTTTTTTCTTATTATTTTATATAAATTCTCTTGATCATTGTTGAAGTTTTCAATGCAATTCAAAATTGCATTGTTTCAAGAAAACGTTTGTTTATAGTTCTACATGAAATGGGTAGTGCTTGGTGGCAGTGCGCCGCATGTTTGAGAACACAAGAAGAAGATATTTGTGAGTTGCATTTGAATAATTGTAACCTTTATGATGTACCACCTGACGTGTTCATTTATGAGAGGACACTGGAGAAATTGTATCTCGATGCCAATAGAGTAAACACAAATATCAATTGATCTTTCGCGTTAATCCAGGTTTTCAGGATTCAAAGGGTATTACCTTTTTATTTTGTTGTAGATAAAGGATCTTCCAAGGCCACTGTTTCAGTGCCATGAGTTACGAGTACTTTCTCTCAGTGACAATGAAGTCACCACGTTACCACCCGCCATAGCATCGTTAATTAACTTGGAATATCTAGACCTTAGCAAAAATAGTATGTGCATAAGTGTTCTTTGTATGGATTTCATTCACAAACAATGTTTCATGATTGTTATATTTATCTCCCTTAGGTATTAAAGAGCTACCAGACAGTATAAAAGAATGTAAAAATCTTCGTTCTATAGATATCAGTGTTAATCCGTTTGAACGTTTCCCAGATGCTATTACACATATTGTTGGACTAAGAGAATTGTATATAAATGATGCATACATAGAATATCTACCAGCAAATTTTGGAAGACTTTCAGCTTTGAAAACCTTAGAACTTAGAGAAAATAACTTGATGACATTGCCAAAGAGTATGAGCCGTTTGATAAATTTGCAAAGACTTGATATTGGTAATAATGATTTCACTGAATTGGTACGTTTATATTTGTCATGAGATTGTTATTTATCAGCCTGGATGTGTTAATGTTAATTTTATCTTTTTCAGCCTGAAGTTGTTGGGGATCTTATCAATCTTACCGAATTGTGGATAGATGGTAATGATATTAGACGTATACCACTCAACATTAATCAGCTTTATCGTTTAAATCATTTTGATTGTACAATGAATGCAATTCATATTATCCCGTCGGAAGTAGAAGGATGGAGAGAGATTTCAATTATGCATCTTTCGTCAAATGAGATCTATCAGTTACCAGATTCCCTTTGCTATCTACGTACAATTGTGACTCTTAAAGTTGATGACAATCAATTGAATGCACTGCCAAATGACATTGGACAAATGTCAAGCTTGGAGGAGCTTATAGTTACTAAGAACTTCCTTGAATATTTGCCATCATCAATAGGACTTTTGCGAAAATTACATTGTTTAAATGTAGACAATAATTACTTGAGATGCCTTCCACCAGAAATTGGAAGTTGCACCGCATTATCGTTGCTGTCATTGAGATCAAATAATCTAACTCGAGTCCCGCCTGAATTGGGACACTTATCCTCGTTAAAAGTACTCAATCTTGTAAACAATTGCATCAAATTTTTGCCTGTTTCTATGTTGAATTTAAGTAATTTGAAAGCATTATGGCTGAGCGACAATCAAAGTCAACCGTTAGTGCCATTGCAGCAAGAATTCAATTGTGAAGAGGATATGATGGTATTAAGTTGCTTTATGCTCCCACAGAAACCGCGGCAAGAACTTGAGCGTAAGTATTTATATTTGTTTGACAGTGTACTCACATCTGAAAACATTTTGTTCATTGTATATAATGATAATTCTTGAAATAGTAATTTTAAAAATATGATATATTATTGCTGCTAGTGGATAATGAGGAAGAAGATGAAGAATGAAATGGTAAAGTATATGTGACTAAATCCACTAGTGTATGTTTTATGTTACTTTTATTTAAGAATATTTCATAACCTTTATCACAAATAAGTATGTAATTATAATTCTACATTTTTTTGCTTATAGAAATAACACCGGCTGTAGGATTAATTTCAAGTTCGATTGTTGGTACTGGAAAAAGAATATGTTTTGCTGCTGAGGTAGAATCTGAAATCCCTAGACAACTTCATCGAGCACCGACTCCCTATCCTAAAGAGCTACGCAATCTTGCTAGGCATGCCCGCAATTTACATCATCAATCAGCGCATGATCAGAGAGTATGTATAATTTAAAACGTATGAATGCTTATCCATTGTGCGATTTTTTATTAATCCGATAACAAAAATTTTAAACCGATATGATATGAAACTAGCGCTGAAGAATATAGAAATCTTAAATACTTTCAATATTTTCGTTGCATCTTTTCGTGTATATTTTTGTATAATCAATATCTGAATTACAAGAAAATTGGCAATTAAAACTTGCAGATGCATTTAGAACAGGAGACTATGATCAAAGAAGCTATTATTGCTACAACTACTCTGGACCTTACCTCAAAATCTGGGACCTGTTTTTCACAAAGTTTATTTAATAAGGTATTCATTAGAGAATTATGAAAGGAAGGCAATTTATTCGACTCCAGAGTATTTATTAATAATATTGATAATATGAAAAATGGAAATATCGTAGAAAACAAATAAACTCATGAAATCAATTATAAAAGAAAAAAGTTTCAATTTTCAACAAAAGTAGACTGGTATAAAATGAAATCTGATATAGGGAAAACAGTAAATCTTCCGCTGATAAAAAAATTAATAAACTAACTAATTAAAAATTAATTAAACTAACTAATTAATTTTGTTCTTTAGGATTCACATTCATCATTATCACCAACTGAACATCGTACGTCAAAGGCGTGCAAGAATAATACTCCTACGGATGTTGGAACAGAACAATCTGTTTCAGAAGAATCTTCCGACGAAGCAAACAAAACGGTACTTGCGAAAGAAAAGAGTCCGGATATTCGAGAAGCGAAATATATTCGTAATCCCACGTCCGAATACCTTTCCAAGCCTCCAACAGTAGCAGATTATGTAAATTCTACTTGGAAACCAGATGAGTACTCGAAGGCAAACACAGCAAAAATTGTTGAATCGGAGAAATTTATAGAACCCTATAAGAGTACACCTATTGCCGCAAACAACAAGAATGCTATTCATGTTCAAGTGCCGAAAGTAAATGAAGTTCCACCCGTCCCGCCGCCGTATCATATTGCTGCCGCGTTTTCAAAAAAAGCAGCACTCTTTCAACAATTAAATCAATGTAAGTCGTTCTTTTCCTTTTATCGTTTCTATAATGATAACATACATACGAATTTTTTATTTCGTTATGATTGTAGCAGCCCAATTAGATTCTCCGATGATCGCTCCTCCACAAATTGATATGAACATATCAAATTCAAAAATATCACAGGAAACGCAAATACAAAATTATGATGGAGAATCATTTAAAGTCGAAGAACGTTCTTATAATGACAAATTTTCATCGAATAACACAGATGCAACAAACACTTCAAATAACGATGGAAAAATAAGCTCTTTTAGTGGTACTGATCAAATACATGCGTTAACAGAATCGATTGATTTGACAGAACAATTATTAGAAGGAGATCGATCATTGAAACCAAGTAGAATTCCTATTTTAAAGACAAAGCATTTGGAGAACACAAATTCTATATCAAGTAGCGATTTGTCAAACAAATGTACAAACTCTTCTGTTGAAGACTACGAAGCTTTAAAAATGTTGAATGCGTCGTCTATACCAACATCTCCCATAACCGGGAAAAAATATCGAAGTCCGTTATCTATGCAACCTAAAGTTTCGGATCGTCCAAGAAAGATAATAAATGGAACTGTGTCGAATAACAATATCTCCTGTGATAATTTATCTATAAACCCAGTGAACTCAAGTCCAGTTGCAAATTCGAATATGGAAGGAATTTCAAAAACTTTATCCATCGAAACGCCATTGAATATGAATATTTCGTTTAACATAAAGAATGAAACTAATTCTGGTCGAAGTACTCCAATTTTACCTAATAATAAATCTTTAAACGAGATGACCAATCTTAATGTTGATAAGTACAAAGTTGCTGGACAGAATGAGTCATTAAATTCTGAAAGAAAACCAAGATTTAAATGGATGTTCGGGCCACACAAAAATGCTAACGTAGTATGTTCTTTTTTCTTTCCTTTTTTCTTTTACGTAATATCGTTACGTATATTTTACAATTTGTAATTGTTATTTTTTACAGTTGCCTGTTCAAGTAAAAAAAAATCCAGGTCTCGGTTTCAGTATAGCCGGTGGAGTAGCAGGCGCAGAAACCGTAAGTATTCAAAATTTAAAGCAAATATAATAAGATTTTCTATATTTTAATCGTTAATTACATTTACTCTAGGGAATAATTGTGACTAAAGTGAATCCAGACGGTCCAGCACAAGGTACTCTTCGACCAGGAGATAAAATTTTAGAAGTAGATGGTATAGACTTCACTAAATCTGATCATAACAATGCTGTGGCTGTCCTTCGAGCAACCGGAGCAGTGGTATCTATGATGATTAGCCGTCATCAATGACATCCAGTTAAAAAAGAACAATGGTTTCTTTCCTTTAGTTTTTATAACTAGTGATGAGTTTATATACGTCACGTAAGTTTTTTTTAGAATATATATTTTTTTAACTAATATTAGTATATGTCAACATATTAACACGCACGAAAAAATATGGAAATTTTATTTTGTTTTTCTGAACGCCTGTTTTCATGATAGTAAATCATATTCTTTTTGATACTATCAAGAAATTGAATGACTGAAACAGCGTTACCAAAGGTGGGAGTAATGGCATTTATTTAAGGAAAATATTTCAGGCTCCCAAGTGGTTACGATTTGTGAACTGAGCTTTTTAAAGAAAGAAACAATAACAATTTCGTGAAATAATTCGGTTCTTAGGATATACCATAGATTAGAAACGCGTCCCTTGCACAATTTACAATAAAAAAATGTGATGTATAAAAGAACTATTTTTAAGAGAAATTTCTTCATGAGCCAATTCACAGCTCACTTGTATTATTTGGCCGCATACGTAGCTAAAATAGCAATTCTTTAGCAAACAATTATAGGATGATAAGTTTCTTCCCGAATTTCTAACTCCGTAAAGAATGCATATATTTGTATTATGATGTTGATTGTATTTGTGTCAACTCACTTGTTCTCTTTGTAGAGAGCTGACAATGTGCCAGAAACAAAATACTATTTATTACTCATATACATTTAAAAAAATCCTATATAAAAATGAATATATATTATGCATATATATTATATACAAATAATTATCTCTATCAATTAGATGGGATTCTTACAGATACTTATTTCGTAAGATGTGAATGATTTTTCTACAAATTTATTTTAACACATCATTTTTACAAGCACAAAGAATTCTACGATTAATTTACTTGTATTATTTACAGTTTATATTTAAAAAATGATATACTTTAATTTTATTTAGAAACTACATCTGTAAGAATCTTATTAATGTAAAGAAAAGGGGAAAATATTTCTCTATGTGCCGTAATTTTATTGGTAATGTTTTTAATAGTTTTATCACTATCAGTTTTGATTTTATTTTTTCTTTCTTTCCTTTTTAATAAAAGAATACTCATATCGAAAATATGTTGTAAAATTTACATTTTTCGAACAATTTTATATATTTTTGCTTGCCATTGTTTCGTGATAAGTTTGTTTTATTAAATGCTAATAATTCTCTTATCACAAAGTCAACTGTTAAGTATTTGATAAAATGAGATCTTTATTGTTATGGTTGTGAATTACTTGAATGTATGTACCTTGTAGAAACTGTTTTTTAACAATAGTTATTAATGTGGCACGATGAGGCCAAATCGTAAGATAAAACACTACTTTTCTATGTTAGTGAAATTATATTGAAAAAAAAAAAAAAAATGAAAGTTATTCATGTAAATGGAGTAGAGTTGTGAGATAAATGTTTAGAAAGGTTGTATGATGATGTATAGCACAAGTGAACTGTTTATGTCAAGATATGAGTTATAACTAGTACATTATTTGTATTCCAGAACTTTTACAACAAGTAACAATATCGCACTTCACTTTACCTCGCATATACAGAACAATTACTATGCACATTCTCTTGAACTATGCATTTTTTACGTATATTTTAATTAGTTTTGTCAACTATAAGGATATTTAGAAGAAATGGTTTATGCATTTTTATAAATATGTTTAAATAACGTTTATATGTATTATTTGGTTTTATTTATTCTTTTCTTTCTTGTATTTCTTAATGTCTATCAAAGATACAAAATATCTTCCGGTATTTATGTTTATAGTAATTTTTTAAACAATTTAAACAGCTTAAAATAATGTTATAATTACATGGTAGCTATACGATTACAACATATATACATGCACCTATGTATGTTGGGCATGACTTCAAATGTATATGAATTATCCTCTTCTATCTGAGCTTCGAATTTTTGAATACTTCATTTGAAACTATAGTGAAGTATAGAACTTCCAGAATTGAGAATTATAACAAAAAAATGTTATATTTTCAGAAAGATTTCCTTCGAGAAATACCAGTAAAACTTATTCAGTGAATAAGAATTGCTCCTTCTATGGAAAATATGTAGAATTTTGATATATTTTAGGTATAAATTGACAAAAAAAGAGCAGATTATTTTTGATTTACGTATTTTGTGAAAGTAATTTTAGATAACTATATACTCAATTATAGTATTCTTAGTAAAAATTATATATGTTTTGATTATTTTTTATGAGTATATGTAGTTCTATAATATATATTTATATGTATACATAAAAGCAGCTTGATATTTAAATTTTTGAACTAACTATCAATAATAATCTGCATACCTAGTCATATTGGAAAGTAAGAAGTATAATCAAGAGTGGATTGTACTTTCACCTGATAATATTCGTATTTCTATGAATATTTTGTGTAGTTCTTTTTAAATATTAATTTTATGAAGAATTATAATAGAAAATAACGCTATATTTATTGTATGCTTATGTTACTGAAATACTGTTATGTGTTTATTCATAACAAATGTACAAACTAAAGTTTGCATCTGTATCAATGTTTTTATTTTTAGCAAGCTGTAACGTCTTTTTTAAAACATTATGTTAAGCTCAAATACTCAATTAGAATCTTTTGCAGGATAAATTAATATTTTAATTGTCAAAAATACAAAAATTTTGGACCACAAAACGCATATACAATCTTTTCTACTACTCTAACTACTAAACAGACTGACTACTTTTTGAGCAAATATTTAAGTGGCATTTAATGGAATGTATTGATTGTACGGGATGTGTGATCAAAAAATGCGGTACATAAAACTGTATATATAAAAAATTAAAAGTATATAAGTGTACAAGTGGTCGTACTCATTATTCAGATTATATTTCAATTATAATCTTTCATTTGATATTTTCTTTTTAATAATTTCTTCATTTCATGATACTAACTGATAGTTTCAGTAATTTGATAGGGTAATTTTTTAATTAAGTTAAAAAAAAAATATATACACTGTTAAAAAGAGAACATTAATCAGTACAACCACTTCCTTGACATATTTTTTTGGAATACCTACTCAGACAATTTGTATGACAATGTATGATAGATTAAATGTACAAAAAATGCTCACAGTGGTTTGACTGGTCATCATATAATAACTACCATACAGTTGTAACACTTTGAATATGTTAAAAAAAGATATTTTACCTTTCTTAAAAAGTCCTAGTTGGTTGTGCAGCAATAAATAAATTAATATTTACGTACAAAATGTTTACAAGTTTTATTGCGCTTTACATATATATTCTTATGAAATTGAAGTATAGAAGTTTCTTAAAAATTATATTTGAGTTATTACATATAAAAAGATTCCAATAAAGTGTATGCTTACTTTCAAATATATTTTCACGCTCCTATTAATAAAAATACAGGATTTTCAACGTAATGTTTCCAAAGATTCGAATACTTGGCCATTGTGACACCATCTATCACTCGATGGTCGGCGGCCCAGCTAACACAAATTGTGTTCGCAGCTACCACATTTCCTTTATCGTCAAATCGTGGTAATTTTTGCGCTTTTCCAAACGCGCCGATTACAATTTGTGGGGATAGAATCATCGGTTTTGTATATGTACCACCCACCTGTAAATTACAATTAAATTTGTTGAATTACATTAATGAATTCTATTTGTTGAAAATATATTGATTTTACCTGAACAATAAATTAATACTAATGAGTTGTAAATTGATTGTTTGAAATGCATTATTACAGAAGTCAAATTGAACAACTCTATTTTCTAAAAGTTTCTTAGTTTCAGTGCTACAGCTGAGCAATATTTAATTTTTCAAGAAATACAACAATTTTCTTTAATATAATCTTTGAGTTTGGACTTTGCTTTTCTAAATTCAAGATTCAATTCAAATTCAAATCGAATTCTTTCGAAATAGTCTGAAGTTCAATTTCATCGTTTAATAGCTTCCATTGGAAATGATTTCTAAACTTACAACACCAATGTTTGATAGCGAGAATGTTGTGTTCGATAAATCGCTTGGCGGAATTGAAGATCTTCTTCCAAGTTCTTGAAGACGGTTCAACTCTTTCGCGATCTCCACGATGTTCAAGTTCTGGACATTTTTAACATTCGGTACAATTAAACCTTCAGGTGTGTCCATCGCAATACCGATGTTGTGACTCTTCTGGACGCGTAACGCCTGCCTCTCCTCATCAAGCCAGGCGTTCAGCTGTGGCAACTTTTCCAACGCTCTGGATGCGGCTTTTATGAAAAACGGCATCAAGCTTAAAGAAACACCCTGCTCTTTCACCGTGTCCTTCACCTCGTTCCGCCAGTCCATCAATCTGTTAATGTTACACTCGTCACTGTACACAAAGTGCGGTATACTCTGCAAACATGCGTCGGCACCGTAAATTTTTCGCAACCAGCCCGTTTAATTACAGGTTTATTTGGGGCGTGCAATTAACGATGTTAGCACACAGGGGACCGTGTATATGTCATATTTGAACGTCAAAGACGACACGTAGGGGATTGGGGGATGAGACGATTAAAATGGCCGTATTTTCCGAAACACTTTAACGGTGTTTCGTCTGTCAACGTTGACAGGAAATTCGAGCCGAGTGGCTGCTCGGATTCGATCGATCGCTATCAATCGCATGTGTCAACGTCACTTTTAGACGACGCACTTCTATTATCCGGTTCGTCGTGATTCTCACGTTTCAACTACCGACGTACTACATTGAAATTTTACTGGGCGATGTGACACTTCGCTCTCGTTACCTTTTTGTTCCTTTTCTTTTTTTCTTCCTCGTTACGAAACCGCGTTATTTAATCGGCAAACCACTTTCTTCGATGCTTTGTCGTTATCCTACTTATTATTCTATAACTGGATGGATTAATTGACTGTTTATTCAATAACGCCGCCGCCGCGATCGCACGGGAATGCGCGATAGGCAAAAATCTGGCAATTTACGCGTGGCATGCGTTTTAATCTAAACTGCGCTTATTAACATAGCGTTAATACCTCAACGTTATTCGTTACGGGATTATCCGAACTGCTTTTCAGTTTCAGTGGAAAATCTATTTTTAATAATGATCGAAACGAGCAACTTCACTTTGTGTCAACGCGTAACGTGTAATTCTTTTTTGGCGAAAATCTTTTCCAAGCAAAACCGAATAAAATGGAAACGCGATAATCATTCGACGCGGGGAAACTAGACATTTCAAAAAATCGCGATCCAACTTACCAGAGATTGCGTCATTGTTCTCCACATGTGCTTGCTATAGCCTTTCACTGGCATTACCGTCTCTCCCGTTGGTTTCCCTTCGACCCTTTCTCTTGCCGAGTTGACAGGAATTTTTTCTAAATGAGCTAATATATCCTCTTTAAGCACTCGACCGTTTTTCCCCGTGGAAACGACGTCCTTCAAGTTAATATTGTTCTCCATAGCTATCCTTCTGACCGCTGGGGTGGCTATTGCTTTTTCCAAGTCACACTTCACTAGGAGTTTCTCCTCCTTGTCTTTGACGCTCTGTTCGTCATCAGACTTTCCTGTTAACTGCGGCTGTCGATCATCGGTAATCGTTTCAACTTGCTCGTTCCCATTATCGTCATCTACTTCAATTTCCAGCAATGGATCTCCTATCAGAGCCACGTCGTCTACCTTGTAGTGCAAGGCTTTAATTAATCCGTCGTAACGGCTAGTAATCGTCACAGATGCTTTGTCGCTTTGAACCTCACAAATGTTATCGAATTGAGACACCCGGTCGCCTGGTTTCACGAACCTATATACATTCGAATGCACCAAGTTGGAGTTCAATTATCTTTACAGTACATTAGACCGAAACATAGTGTCGTCGACTGACAGGTATTATATGTATGTATGTATGTATGCATGTACGTATGTATGTACGTTAGGTTACGTATTTTCATCAAGATGCAACATTTCTTTACTTTCAAGTAATATAATGGACTTTTCGAGAGGAGATCGGCCGATAGTGAGGGAGAAATGATCGGTAATTGTGAAAACTTTGTAGGTACGATGGTTAACGGGAAATTTATTGTTTTGCTCACCATTCTTTTATCGTGACGTCTCGAATTCCTTCTCCGATATCCGATAGTTTGAAGGGGACGACGTTTCCGCATCGAAAGCAGCTTACGGAGAAGAATCGACATTTTTGATTGCGTACATTTCTACCCTAAATAAACATGGATTTCTTTGTATACTAGTCAGCAATAACTTGGAAATCCTTGCCTCCGTCCGAACGATATTGTCTGCCTTTTATTTTAAATTTTATATTGCAAGCATCGGGACCAGAAAATTACGTATCAGGTGTTTACATCGAACTCTAAGGAAAGAAAATACGACGTCGCGACTTTAAATTTGGCGCGTCGAAGTGAAGTTTTTCGATTGTCAATACGCGATCGATTTTCGATTGTACAATCGATCCGTGTGGCAGACATCTTTAGTTTCAAGTTTGACTTCATCGTGAGAGCATCGTGTGTGAAAAAGTGAGTGAAAATTGTGCAGTTAACAGATTAAAAACGACGTGAACAATGAACTGACGGTAAAATATTAAATTTCTCGAAATTTTCTCGAAGAATTCAGCTCGATGTCGACTAATATTTTATCATTTGTTCTCAGAAGTGCGAAGAAGGTGTTTCAGCCTACCGGTGAACCTACACCGGTAAGTGATTAATCAGTTATACAATTTATCATATCTGTCGATATCCATGTATATATAAAACTCTATCATGACATATGTCAAACATTGTTCAAATATTGTAATCCACATCTGTTGCAAACGTTTGAACGACAAATTAGTCATCGTGACAACTACTTTATTTGGCGGGAGAATATTGACCAATCACATTGCGCGCTCCGTAGAAACGTCCAATCAAAACGTACCTTTCTTTAAATTTTCACAATTGCGAAATACTATAGGTTAACTTTTCATTGAATCAAACATGTCGGTTCAATGTTTGAAACTAACAGAAATCAAACCGGAAGTACTTCATAATTTCGTATTAATCCCGTTACGCATTCGAGCACAAAACGTAAACGCTTTCATTAACTTTGATCAGGTCACGTGTTAATTTCATTTGTTGCATCACTGTTACGTGTTTATGCTTTAGTAGTTCTCTGCCGTATGATTTACCCGGAGACCACAAAATGGAGTGTATCGTAAGTGATGACGTTCCCTAGTAGAACATATATTGGCTCTCTAAAGCTTGAACACTCTCAATATAAACGGCGCATAACAAGATTGCTGACCAATCCTGCGTCATGTCGATTAAACACATCGGACGACATGATGTACGAAATATTTGCAGTTTCCTGTATCCTCTGCATATGTACTCTGATCTGTTTAACACACTCCATACCGTGCCGATTTTATGTGATTTGTTTGCCGATAAGTCACGTACTGCGATTATTACATTTATTTAAATAGATAATCTATAATGGTTATGAAATTACAAAATTGATTATAAAAAAATTGCAATACGTAGTAGCTCACTTGTAAAAACAGAAATATCTTGTAAATGTAAACGCAACATTGTAATGAAGCTTGACTATCATAATTATATTGGATAAAATTTGAAACAAACTTGGAAATATATATAAAAGTTTATATATATATATATCTTTTTATTTATTATGATTACAATGTCCAACAAAAAATGTATATATATATATATATATATATATATATATATAAAATATATATTTATTAAAAATATTAAAAATATATATTTTTAATATATAATATATATATATATATATATTTTTATTTATTATGATTATAATGTCCAAAAGTTTTAACTTTTTTTCTACATCCTTAGTATTAAACATTTTTTAATCCATTATTTTCACATTTCTGAGAAAATTAATTTTGAAAAAATTTTCAACTTTAAATTAAATTTAACTTTCTGTGTTCTAATTGTAAAAATTATACGAATGTTTTTTATATAAATGTAACATATACATATGACAGTCTCTTTCAAATATAATAATATATATTTTTACAATTTTATAGACATTTAAATAACGTTCAAAGTAAAAGTGGCACCCAAACTAATTTTTATAAATATTTTTCTTAAAAACCAAGGATTTCAAGAGGAAATCTAACAGAGAATAAAGCAGAGCTTTAGTAGTTATATTTCCTTTCAACTGAAAAATCAAAATAATTCTGCGAGACTTTCTGTGATCATGATTACTTTATATTCTTAACTCAACGCAGTTAATTTGCAATGTTTTTATGTATGTTAACCAATATCCCATCATAGTACTTTTAAAATGATTAACGTTTCATTATGTTTGTTAATTATGTCTGCTTCATAAAATATTTTATTTTATTTGAAAATATCATCGATTAATTATTATTTCTATAAAATTCTGTAAGAATCGTGTATTAGTTACTGTAGCACAAAATATGTTGCATTATATAATTAATAATCGTTAACATTTAATGAGAGCACTAAACTTCAACAAATAATGTGTTTATTCGTATTGTATATTAAATGCTTGTAGTAAATATCTTGTAATTTTTACACATATTGCTCATTCATTGCAATAATGACGTAACTCAAAATTTGTAGTTTTTGAATTATTGGCCAAACAATGTACTTGTACTTTTAATTAGTAGAGTTCTGTACATGTTCGAAATATTATTGTAAAAACTTGTTTCTTATCATGCCACGACAATGAATTATAACAAGAAAAACATTCAGATTCGTTTTCTCTGGAACCGTAGTTTTCGAGTTACGTTATTATTACAGCTAAACGAGCGAGCATTGTCTCAAAATGGCAATACAATCATGACAGTCGTGGTTTCATTATAGTGTATTCAGTAAAATTTCAAAATATACAGTTTCAATTTATATCAACACGTATATCTGTATCATATATTAATACAAAAATATGTACACAAATATGTATTATATGTAAATACATATATATGTACATAAAAGTTCTCTGTACATAAACGTTCAAATACTTTCGCGAGCAGCTATATTGTGTATATTGTCACAATTATCGGCGCCTTAAGCGCAATAAACTCGTACTCTTCTCAGAATTAATACGTATATTAAACAAACATTAAACAAACAAGTCGAAAATTACCGAGAACAGCCGAGATCACACGCGTCACGTTTGCAACGATCTGCATGCCACGATATTACTAGTATTGATTCCCTTCGAAATCGGTTTATCATCTATCTCTTGGAATTATACAATGTACCATACAATGTTCTCTTACCAGAAGCGTTACGGCTGTCAGTCTCCAAGTCAGGGCCATCGTAGAGAATTTCCCACCGACTTGAGAGCGAAATAAACAATCCGATGGAGGTCTCCTTCGGAGAAAGATGGTTGCAGCTGCCGAAAAATGAGACCACTAGTCGATAGCGGTACACTGCGGCTTGCGTAGATCTCTCGAACTCGCTTGTGTAGTTATCGTTCGTCTTCGGTATTATCGAGATATGTTTTTTGCTCGCGTGTCCGGAGGATGTTACGCAATCGCGTATTATAGTAGCACGAATGAAAAGCAGAATCACCGTTTCGTTAAGGAATGACCAAAGCGCCGCGTTTCACGCGATGCACGATCGTTTCGAGGCTTCGGAATTTTCTTCGACCTCGAAAGGTCTTGTAGGCTCTGCTCCTCGCCAATAAATTTAATGACATTTAAATGCAATGCACATCGGATCTCCATGTTAACGAAGAGCGATCGCCCAGTAACTAACGATTACTTTCTTTTAAATGGAACTCGATCCATGTGTTTCCGCGGTTTCGTCCACTTCTGTGACAGTTAGCGAGGCTACATTCGCATTCGGAATTGAATATCGTGTCGTGTTTTTCTTCGATAGCCTGGTATTCTCTCGTCGCCTAAAAAGATTCGCCTCTGCACAAATATATACGGGTCGTGAATATGCATTACTACGCGGGTCAGCCGATATTAAGATGCGTTCGAATGTAAAACAATCGAGCAAAATGTTTAATGGTTGTGTTCCATTGCGAGTGAAGTCGGGAAGGTGCAGTGGCTTGAAGGCAAGATGGAAATGAAATTGAGATTAAATTAAAATTACGTCGATGACTTTGTTTTCAAGAAGAAAATTTAGAAACTCGTGAATTTTCCTAATTCTAAACAGGAATAGAAGTAGATTAGTGCTATGTTCAAAAGAGTAGATTGAAAATGTAGAGTAAAATCTTTTTATTTAAAGCCTCATTTTGCAGAAAATAATAAAGTCTGAACGCGTTTAATCAGAAAGCCTTGTAAACGTATACTTGATTTATGCATTTTCATATATTTTTTATAGATTTTCCTCGAAAGTGAAATTTTGTGAAATTTTCAATCAAGATCTCTTACTTTACGTTTCTTATCTGTTTCTATCACATTCATAATAATGTTGTTCTTGATGTTCTCCTTTTGTTGTTCTCAATCTCCGGTTTATTTTAAATTTAAATGATAAAGCATCTGTGATTACGCTTATATTAACACAAGTATGGAATATTTATTAGAACAGAGGTTTATTGTGACACTTTATATTTAATTCTCCAATGCTCAATGTTGTACTTTATACACATTAATTATTAACGAAATAATAAACGTTTTTGGTCTCGAGAATTTGAGTGAAATTATTAGAAAATTATTATGAAGTTATCAGAAAAGATATGAAGCATTATCTTCATCCATTAATTGATGAACTTGCAACAAAAACTTTAATAATTCGTAGGTTTATAATAAAAATGTTTGCATTTGTCTTTTTTCTAAAAAGAACCAAAGTTTTCAGAAAGCTTCAGTATATCTTTTTAACAAACATTCATATTACAACGATTATTGAAAGTGTGCTTGTAATTATATTAACCTTGATAAAAATTGTTCCTCTTTTTTATAACTACAGTTCGGAACAAATTGATAAGACACTTCTGGATTTTTTGTATTTTTTAAAAACAATGAAATTTCTATACGTCTTTTTATGAAAAATATTGTAATATAATATACAGCATAGTAACATACAACGAAACATTCTTGAAATTATAAGAATTTTCTTAAAACCACATGGGACAAAATGATAGGACTGCAATCTTCATTTTCTTTCATTCATTCTATGATCCACTGTCACTTTTTATAATACCAATTTCATCATGGTTACGAATATCGCTTGTGACTATCAAAAATTTGTCCATTTTTACTTCGTATCATGATAAACTTTTACAAGCGATAAAAACAAATTTCTTTTTTCTGAAAATCTTTCTTTTCTTTTTTTTCTGAAAAGACTATACTTTTCCTTTTCATCGGTTATGGAGGTAAGAAATCGAAATCGATTATCCGCTCGCGCGTCCCAGAAATATGAGAAATGCGTTCTAATTTAACAAGAGTTGGAATTTAATTTTCTCTCATGGATATGATTAACATTCGCCGCTAAATTGCTATCCAATTAAGAGCACGTGTCATACGTCACACCTCGCCAACGATTTTTCCATTAACGAGGTGTTTCTAGTTGTAAAACACGAAACAGTCGCTAACATTGCGAGTGCATTTATTTTGAAGTAGTTATACATATATATATATATGTTATATACATATACGTACGTACGTACACGTGGCTGGAAATTGGAATCATTTTGAATATATGATACTTAAAACTTTTCGAAAGACTTCGCAAGTCTCGAATCCCGAATCGTTAAAGTTTCGACAAGTATTGAAAATTCTGACAACTTGACAGATATCCAATACTGGATATCTGCAATCTTTCTATTATATTCCATCTTCAATACTTTGTGCATCTTATCTACGTATCTCTTTACGAATATCTATTATAAAATGTATAAACATTTCGAAGATTTCTCGAAATTTGAGGACGCAAGAATCGAGTTCTTGTTTAAAGATTTTTAACTTCAGCTGAAAAATTGCTCTCTCGTATATTTGAAATCTCGGCACTTGAAAAGAAAATGAAACAACGTTTCACAAAGAGGAATGTAGGGAAAAATTTATAAGAATATACACGTACGTTTAAAGAAAATTTGTTTTTCATTTATTGATGTGTATGTAAAGTTTCTCATTGAAATGTCGATCCAAAAGGAGAAAGTACAATTTGTTCAGATCTCGTTTAAAGTTAAAAGACAGTGGTTTGGACCAGATATATAAATGTTGACGTTTTTCTTTCGATATATACATAAGCTACTACGCAAAAGTATCTGGATACTTGCGTATTTTTAATATAATTCAATTAGAAAATCGTGGAGTATCAAACTGCAATAATTTTATCCTTTATAATCGCTTTAGCCACGTTTAAATTCATAAATTGCCAACGTGCAATGATAAAACTGACATTTGTAATTGTCAAATCTTATAGAAGTGTCTTACGTAACAGACAAATTTTGTATTTTTTGATTTTTAAATTAATTACGGATTAATTGGAACTCTTTTTAAATTAATAAGAACATTTCTGATGATCAGTAATATTGCACTAAATAACTAAAATATATGTATTATATTGATTATCGCTTCCAATTATTAATGCGTCATTCATTTGTACACTTCAGTAGAATTTAAACGTCGTTAGTACCGATCCAAATATCCAAATCCTTCCTACAGCGAGCAACGACGAGTTTTTTTGAATTTTCTCTCATTGTCAGAATTTCAAGTTTCTTGAAACAAAACTTTTGAAAATTTCGTATCACCTCGAAAATTGAGATTTGAACGGTCGACGTTACTTTAAATATTGTCGAAATCGATTAGAACAATTTGATTCTCGTCTAACTTATCGAGATCAGATTATAGTCCTGCATGTCACGAAACAATTTTCACGCTTGCGTGACGATTGAATCCGTGTGTATGGGTTAAAGTTAGAATTATTATAGAATAATATACATGACACACATTGTGAATTTAGAAAAAATTTTGAATGAACTGACGGATGAATAATTTTGAATAAACTGACGTCCACTAAATATAAGACGTGACGCCACAAAAAGACAAAAGCTAGTACTCTATATTTTCATAAGAAAATATAATATAATAATATAATAATTACTATTATTATAGTAATAAAAAATAATAATATAGTAATATAATAAAACATAATAGTAATATACATGAGCTACTACGCAAGTTAAATGTAATAATAATCTAAAAATACGAAAGTTTAATATAATAATTAAATAGATTAAAGTTAGAATTATTATAGAATAAATTATAGAATGACACACATTGTGAATTTAGAAAAAATTTTGAATGAACTGACGGATGAATAATTTTGAATAAACTGACGTCCTCTAAATATAAGACGTGACGCCACAAAAAGATAAAAGCTACTCTATATTTTCATAAGAAAATATAATATAGTAATATAATAATTACTATTATTATAGTAATAAAAAATAATAATATAATAATATAATAAAACATAATAGTAATATACATGAGCTACTACACAAGTTAAATGTAATAATAATCTAAAAATACGAAAGTTTAATATAATAATTAAATAGATTAAAGTTAGAATTATTATAGAATAAATTATAGAATGACACACATTGTGAATTTAGAAAAAATTTTGAATGAACTGACGGATGAATAATTTTGAATAAACTGACGTCC